TTTAGGTACGAAAATTACAAGCTGCTATTTGTTATGCTTTGGATGATGTCAAATCATGTCAAGTAAAAATTGGAATATAATGGGGATAATTGAATGTTTTCTTCTTTTGTTGTTTAGTGCAAGAGGATACATTTTGTTTATTTAATAATGTATTATCTATAGAGAGAACGTGTGAACATTGCTGGCAACAAATGAGATTTAGAAGATAAAAAGAAAACTATTTTTTAAGAATAAAAAAAAATATCCATTTTGATATCGTTCTATGTTTTATCTTCATTTTCATTCAAAAGAATATTGATTACATCTTTTGTCTTGTTTTGGTTTTCCATCAGTTTGTAACTATAAAGAGAAAGAATTAGTCATTCATATTGTAAAATCTAGTGTTATATATTATAAGATAGAGCGAAGTTTATATTTTCTCACTAAGAAAAAAAATACAAACGAAATGTGTTAAAATAGAAACTAAAAACAATAGAAAAATTCAATTGATCTTATGATAAAATTCAAAAATAATTTTTTTTTTCTTCTAATTAGAGTTATATTGATCAATGTAATGATGATGATCCGGATACGGTTATTAATACAGGTTGTGTTTTATATAAAGAAGGAAAATATGATGAAGCTTTAAAATATTTCACTAAAGCACAACAACTTGGTGGATATAATCCGAGTAAATTTTGAATTTTTTAAAATTTTATAATGTTTATTTATTTGTTTTCTTTTTGTAGAGGTATGGTATGATATAGCTCTTTGTTATTATGAATTAAAACAATATGCTCAAGCTGTACAACATTTGGGTGCAATTGTTGAAAAAGGAATTAAAGAATATCCTGGTATAGTAAAATAAACAAAAGAAAAAAATTATTGTTAATTACTGTTTAATTTTTCTTTTTTTAAGAATTAAGTATTGGTATGCAAACAGAAGGTATTGATATAACATCTGTTGGCAATACAAATACTTTACAAGAATCAACTCTTGTTGAAGCATTTAATTTACGTGCTGCTATTGAATTTATACTTAAAAATTGTTTGTATTTTTTTAATTTTAACAAAAAAAAAACCAAGAAAGAATTTTCATTCCTTTTTTTTTAGATGTTGCAGCACGAGAAGCTTTAACTGATATGCCTCCTAGAAATGTCAATGAACTTGATATGATAACATTACATAATCTTGCTATTATGAATATGGAAGAAGATGCAACAGGTGGTTTCGAAAAATTAACATTTTTAATTAGTAGTGATGGATTTCCACGCGAAACATTTGTTAATTTATGTCTTTTGTATCTCAAATATGAAGTAAGTACAGTTCTGAACAAAATAAATTGTCTTCTATGAAGCACTACTATTCTTTATGATATTGAACTGATAATATTTTCAGTGTATGGAAGTTTTAGAGTTACACGCATATACCCAAAATATAAGCTCAATATTATAAATAATAGTAGCACTTCATGGAGAGCAGCTACTTTTGTTCAGAATTATATATATATATATAGATCAATTAATATCTAATTTAATTTATTTGTTATATTGAAGTATTATGATTTTGCTGCTGATCTTCTTGCGGAAAATACAGATCTGACATTTAAATATATGGATCCATATATATATGAATTTATAGAAGCTAAAATAGTTCAACAAACAGCACCTGAAGCTGCATTTAAAAAATTTGAAGATTTAGCTGGTACATTAATTGAACAATTACGTCGACTTGTTAAAGAAGTACAAGAAAATCGACGATCACAAAAAGATGAACAAGTTAAAAAAAAAGTACAAGAATATGATGCTACTTTAGAAAAGTAATTTAGTTTTTTTTTCTTTTTTAATAATATTATTTTGATAATTTTAAATTAAGATATGTACCTGTACTGATGGCACAAGCTAATATTTATTGGTTACAAGAAAATTATGCAGCTGTAGAAAAAATTTTTCGAAAATCAGTTGAATTTTGTAATGATAATGAAATATGGAAATTAAATGTTAATGAAATTTGAAATTTTATTGATTATTTATTAATTTGTTTTCTTTTGTTTAGGTTGCTCATGTTCTTTTTATGCAAGATAATAAATATAGAGAAGCAAGTAGGTTTTTATTAGATTTTTCTTTTAAAGATTATACAATACAGAAATATAATTTGTTTTAGTTGGATTCTACGAACCTATTGTCAAGAAACATGAAGATAATGTGAGAAATAATTTATTTTATTTGGATTTAAAAGAAATTTTCAAAATCAATGAACGTGTTTTGTTCGAAATAGGAGAAAAATTTATGTTGATCAATAGTTGGTTATTTGAAGATTTATAAATTGATTTAGTTCGAAACAATAAGACTCCAACATGATTTATAGATTAATTTAATGAGAAGATTATTAAGATAGTGATAATATTATTTCTCAATATTAAACGAAATCTTTCTGTACTCTTTTGAATATCAATGAGATAAAATGATTATTAATATTAATAATAACAACAATAAATTTAAATTTTTAGCTTTTATCAGTTAGTCCAATTGTTTTGGCTAATTTATGTGTTAGTCATATAATGACAAGTCAAAATGAAGAAGTAAGTATTTAAAAAGACAAAAAGAAATATTTCTACAAAATAAATATTTTTTATTTAAAGGCTGAAGAATTAATGCGTAAAATTGAACGTGAAGAAGATAAATTACCATTTGAAACACCTGAAAAAAAAGTTTTTCATTTATGTATTGTTAATCTTGTCATTGGGTAGAAACTATAATGAATATTTTCAAATAAAATTTAAATAATTTCTTTTTTTTTGTTAGAACACTTTACTGTGCGAAAAATAATTATGAATTTGGTATATCACGTGTCATGAAATCACTTGAACCTTATCAAAAAAAATTAGGAACAGATACATGGTTTTATACAAAACGTTGTTTTCTATCACTTTTTGAAAATATGGCACGTCATTCAGTTATTATTCGTGATCAAGTTCTTATGGAAATGTTGCATTTTTTAAGTCATTGTGAAAGTAAAAATTTTTGGATGTTATTTATTTTTTTCTAATTATCCTATTAAAATAATTTTTGTTTTTTGTAGATTGGGGTCGAGATGTTAAAGCAAATTTTGTTTCTCCATTAACAAATAAACCAATACATGGTGGAAAAAATACAGTTGCATATGAAGCACGTTATTTGAAAGCATTACTTTTAGATTTATTAAAAATAGACGGTTAAAATAAATGTTCTATAATATTTATTTGTGTTTTCTTTTTTCGTTTTAAATGATGAAATATTACAAAAAAAAAAAGAAAAGAATTCTTTATTTCATTTTAATATAAATCAATTTCGAATATATTTAAGCCTAATGAAAATAATCTTTTCGAAAAATGATTACAATACAAAAATTCTGAACATTAGATAAAAATTTGATTCAATCATTGATTTAAGTCTATTCAAAACACTACTTTCTAATTCTTATTTCTTAAAAGGCGATATTCTACAGTTTAATTATTTATCTCTCAATTGGCAACTGGAATTGCTACTTTTAGGAACATTGCAGAAAATGTAGAACAAGTGATTTTATAAAACTCCTTACACATTGTGTGTAGAGAATTACCTCAGTTACCAATTGGCAAAAAGAAATATTTTATATACTTGCTCTGTCTTCGAGATATCGACGAAGGTTGCTGCTAATGAATAGAATGCGTTGGAAAATTTTCACATGAATTAGTTGAGCAAGAAATTGTATGACATAAAATGGCCACTAAAGTTGCCATGCGGAGGTGGAAGAGGTAATGACATGAAAACAAAAAATTTAAATAGTCTCGTCTAAACGTATTACTTGTTAATATTTGCGCATAGATGAGTCAACAGATTGCTGTTATTTATAGATACAAATATCAGTTGTTGTTATATAAATGTTTGATATGGGTGTTGGCATTGGACAAGAACAGATCCAAACGATACCGACACCCTTACTTCGAGAAAGACAGATGTTATGTATACAGAAAAAAAGAGAAAATCTCTTTATACATTGTTGAATCAAAAGAAATAGATTGTATTTTTGCGAAATTAACAAGCTACTCACAAAAGATAAAAAAATAGAATTTTTCATATCATTACATACCCTTCTCCAATGGCAATTAAAGTTCTCAATTTATTCTGTACACAAGAAAGCGTACCTGATCAATCCGGTGTGCCATTGGCCTACCGAAGAGGCCAATACTCTATTTCAATAGTTGTTTCATAAGTGACTCTTGACGAATCATTATGAAAGGTAAACAGTTAAGTAAAAATGAGTAAATATAATATTTAATTAACATTTACTTGCATTGTATGTACTTTTACATGGACAATCATCTTGGAAGTACTAAGCAAGATTTTTTCTATAGTGTAATCGAAAATATCATTTCCCTGGGAGCTTTCATACTGATAAACTAAAGTTTTTCTTTCTAATTATAATTAATATAATGTAGTATTTTTATCTTTCATCTAGTCGAATGTTGAATGATGTGCTATAGTATATAGATTGTATAATGCCTATAGAAGACAGTTGTATCTATCAAATTTAACATCTAAATAAAGTCATTTTGTAGTTGTGAACAAGCTAATATTTTGAAGAAATTCATTATTGATATGATATAGTAGCGAATGATAACATTTGAAATCTATCGAATTACTAATCTGCTGATAAACTCATATAAACACATTAATCTTAACTCATTCTGATTATTTTTAGATAAAGATAAAAAAAGGAGAAATTATTAAAAAAACAAGAACAAACACAAAAACCGTAAATATATTATACAATCATATATTTTCCTTGTATGACTAAGACCTCAACTTTTAATTGATTGAAGTATTATGATTGTAAATTTCTCATGTTCTTTTTCTCTCTCATATTGAAAATTTATTCAGATTTCTTAACTTTCTGTCATAATTTTCATCAACGAAAAAAAAAAAGGTCTTCTTATATATGTATTTATTATATTCATTTTATATTTTTTCTATATATACAAAAAAACATTGATATTATTCATGGTTACAATAACTCGTTTCGATGATTTATCACCAGAATTAATACTTTGTATATTTGATTATCTTTCACCATATGATCGATACAATTCTTTTTTTAATTGTAATTATCGTCTTCATGAATTGGTAAAAAAACGAACAGAATTTAATCGAAAAGAACTGAATGGTGATATTCTTCGTTTTTCTACACTTCATAGTTGGTACAAACATTTACCATTAGATAATGATGGTATGTTATATTTTATTGTACCAACAAAAGGACAACAACCACGTTATAGTTTTGATCCTTGTGTTACTGATGCTAACGGTTTACACTGGTGGTTTATATATGAAGGAGGAGAATATATTTTAAATGAACATGTACGTGCTATTGTTACTCGTTATCCATTCAGACTTAATCCTTTCTTTTATCATAATGAACACAAATCAACTGATCAATCATTAAATCGTCGTTGGTTTTATGGTGGAAGTATAATTCTAGGTCGCGATGAAAGATTACATGTTCGGACATGGATAAGTAACAATTATCCAGAACATTTTGATAGGATTTTTAATTCATCAGATTCCGACTTACGTAGAAAAGAAGATAGTTTAGTACCTATTTTTGATAGTGAATGGCTAAAAGCAACAACAGCTATTCACAAGGCAGCCGTTCAAATATGGAAATATTTAAAAGAACTTGATGATTTTAATCCATTTCAGACAGAATTTACACAATAAAATATTTAATGGTAATATTTTCTTCAAAAAAAAACTAATTTTCATTTCCCTTTTCTAAAAGTCATAATTGGATGTAACTACTCGGTGATAATGCTTAGACACATTTAGGATTATATGCAATGTTCCATGCTTATACGTCTCACCCTTTGTTGTATTTTTAGATTGTTTTAAGACTACTGATCTCAAATTTTTCAGATGAATTTCGAATTCTCACAGGAACACTTTCAATTAATGATTGGCTTACTTTCCAAAGCGCAAGTCATGCCCATTTGACATGAGGATGAAGAGAATTAATATCTTCCGGTCTTACACTAATCAGTTTGTTTCATTAATTATAGCAGAGAAATTTCAGCACTGAAAATATACTCCACTCAGATCGACCTTCAGTTGCTGTAACCGAAAAGACTTTTAATATCGTTCTAGCAAGAATTAAAAATAATTCTCATAAAACATACGAATAATATTAGGATTGATTTTGTTTCGATAAGATAGAAATCAAAACTGGAATTTTCTCAAAGCTTAATATAAAAATGTTTTTTATTTTACGAATACTACTAATATCATTACGAGTAAACGGAATCAAATTATTTCGATCTGAAGAACATGTATTCTTGTCATTTAACATATTATTTCCAAAGCGTTCCAGTTTTGACTCATTCTTATTCGCTTGATCAGATTGTACTAACTTTTCCTCTTTTATGTAATCTATATACAAAGAAGTTACAGATTCATATATGAGGAAAAATATAAAAGCTTCTTACATTACAAAACATAGTTTTTGAAATTTGAAATATAATGCAATGGAGTATAAATTACAATTTAGATTTGTGAATACTAACAGACAGACGGATGTTTCTTCGAACATACTAATAGACTAACATCGAATTTGTAAAACTCAAATACATATTCTTCCTTTGCTTCTGATGTGTAAAAGATAAGCAGTTGTAAAATATACAGTGATATATTTCGCTGTTATTTTAATCTTCTTAGCAAATGTACATATGCTCACATTGAAGTATAATATTTTTTCATTCATTATTCATACTATGCAATCTCTTCGCTAGTTGGAAAAATTAAGATTACCACATAAGATAATGTCATAATCATCAGTGGTTTTTCGTTCAATAGAAATTGACATAAATATGGCACAGTCTTCTAAATATTTCGTGATTGATTATTCATCTTATGTATGCTATAAATCATATTTAACGTTTTTCTTCTTTAATGATAATTACTATTGAAGCTACAATAACAGTCTTTCAGCGACCTCTTTTCATCTGCCAAAATATAGTTGACAAAACATATGCAATCTCATTATTTACTTCCTTGCGTAAGATGTGAAGTAAGATATTTCCTAATTCATTGTTCTTTTCATCAAAACGAAACTATCAAGATAAAATATGTCAAAAACTGAAGTTGACATAGAGGAACAATCATTCTTGAAAGAAGTTACATCTCATCTACCTTTGGACTGGTCTGATGAACGACGTGATGCTTATATTCAACATGTATTAATTAGTTGGCGACAACATCGAGAACATTCACGTGAAGAACAACGTTTGATGGAAAAATATTTATCTACTATTCAGCAACATTTTAAACCTCAATCATCTGAACTATATGATTTTAATCAATGGCCAATCAATGAAAATCTCTTAGCTATGCTTAATCGTGATTCAATTGATTCTGATATTGTCAAACAAGTCTGTATATTTCCTTTCATATATCTATAAGCAATAATATGTATATCTTTTGTAATAGATAGAATCATCAGGTGCATATACCTTTTCTTTTCTACCTACAACATTTTGTCAATTATTAATTAATGAAATAGCATATTTTGAACAATGGTGTATTGATAATGGATTAAAATTGTATCGTCCTAATTCAATGAATAAATATGGTGTTATTCTTGATCATTTTGGATTTGAAAAATGTTTAACTGATATTGTTACAAATATTGTACAGCCATTAACTCGACTTATCTATAAACATATCACACTTCCTCTTGATTCTCATCATGGTTTTATTGTTGAATATGCTATGGATAAGTAAGAAAATTTCTTTCATAGTTTTTAATCTTATTTTGCTTTCTATATATATATATATAGAGATAAAAAACTTGATTTTCATGTTGATGATGCAGCTGTAACATTAAATCTATGTCTCGGAGAAGAATTTACAGGTGGTCAATTGTATTTTGGTGGAATACGATGTTCATCTCATACTAGCACAACTCCACCAAAACATGATGAAGAGATTTATCTTGAACATCAAGTTGGTACGGCATGTCTTCATCTTGGTAATCATCGACATCGTGCGTTACCTATAACTAGTGGACGACGACTTAATCTTATTCTTTGGGTAAGTTGTAAATATACAAATTGAATTATTTAAATAATATTTTCTATATACGTTTTCTTTTTTTTAATTTCTAGTGTCGATCATCAAATTTCGATGATGAAAGAAAAAAGAATGGTAATAATGAATGTCCAACTTGGTGTGGATTTCATCAAATGAAAATTGAAGAGAATGTTTAAAATATAGTTTTATTTTAATTAATATTCAAGAAAAATTTATGTAACAGTTTTTTTGTCAAATTAAAATCATTTCTATTATAGAAATTTATGATAAATATAACCACTAAAATTTGTTTGAACTTGTAAAGATTGAATTTGAAAATGATCATTAATTATATCTTTGAATTTTTGAATAATTTCTTCATGTGAACAAACTAATTCCATTGTATCAATTGATGGTTTATCATTTGTAATTGGTATTTTTTCGTTAGGAATTTGCGCAATAATAGCAATTAATTGTCTACTTCTATCTGATTCTTCAAATGTTACACATGTAACACAATTAACAAGTATATTTAATTGTTCATAAACATGTTCACCACAACCTTTACATACAATAAGAAGACATCCATTCATTTCACCAGTTATATTTCGATATAAAAAACCTTGCTGAAGAGAAACATAGGTAACATGTAAATAATTATCAAGTATATTTGCAGTTATTGGTAATAATGGATTATTAATATCTTGTCTAATACATAATTCTTTTCCACTGTTACCTGTTGTACCATTAAAAGTTCGTTGATAAAGTTTACGAAATTCGGCATCATTTGAATGTTCAAGAAATACTTGTTCATTAGCATATAACTCAGTAAAAATAAGTTTAGTTTTTGATTCATGTGCATATCGAAATACATATGTATATACGTCGGAATGATCACGATGTACAATATTAGCCATACGTGCTAAATTTTCAAGCATCTTTGTAGCTATTAATTCTGAGCTAGCATCAAATTCAACATATAACATAAAAGCCATGTTTTGTTTTTCTCTCAACTTCACATAATAACAATTGTATAAATAGGACACGATAACAAGTTATTTGCTCTATGAATCATGTGAACGAACTTTATTCCTATTAGATATATGGTTATAGTTCAACATTGATTCATATATATATACTGATGATTCATAGATGATCAATAATAAGTAATGAATATAAACACAAAATCTTTTAATTATTAGAATTATCAAACAAATGTGAATACAGTCATAGAAATAATTCTAAGATATTAATTTTAAGATTTCAAGAAAAAAAAAACTCCATAATGACAAAAAAATTACGGATTCTTACGATGTGTAAAGGAAATTTGGAATGTGACTAACCAAATATAAAATAAGACATTTATTTTTCATTGAGTTAGGATTGGAGTGTTGAATATCTAGTCATAGCTCCAATAGAAAATTTAGTTATTACAAAATACTCATGACCTATTGGTTTACGAGAGAACCATCCAAACTGATGCTCATTGTTTGAAGTCTAAAAGGGTTTGTCTTCATGGACCTTTGAAACCAAGTTATGCTTGTTTTACTGAATTTTTAACCTAGTTTTAGATATATGCCGAAAAAACAAAAAACAGAATTTCGACAATTTTTTTTTGGAAATTCAATATCTTGACAAAGGAACAAAACTTTTAAGATATTCTACGGATCATTTGACTTATTTATGAGTAAAATTTCATGTCAAAATACTGGTTTTTAGTTTTTCGATATATGCCTGTTTTATTATGCTGTTTATGCAAAACATACATAATAAATCAATCGAATAAAAAAAGAAAATCAGAAAAAGTATTAAAAAGATAATGATCAAGACCTTGTCATGCAAATCAAACCGTATGGTTTTTTGGTTTCATTTGTTATATACAGCAGTTGATGAAAATCTTTAGGCGATGTTTTGCAATGAATTTTTCTATCAAAATTCTCACATATTGCTTTGAAATCAATTAAATCTATCATATTAGTCAGATGCAAATATGAGCAATTAAAATTTATTATGAAGAGTTTTTTATGCTGAATAATTAACAATTCACAGATCATCTATGTTACAGAAAGAAAAAAAATTGCAAAATAATTAAAAAAAATATACTGTAATATGTAGTTGATTCTATTTTTCGTGTAAAAAAAACATACACTTAGTTTATAATAAAATTTAAAAGAGAAAAATAGATTTTTTTTTGTTTGGTGTATTAATAACTTGTTCTTCATCTATTATTTATTAAACATTATGTATCATGTGCATATCATATTAGTCGACGACAAGTTTCGCCCATCTTGAAATAATTTTTTTATATTATTTTTGAAGTATGAAAATAGCTTTTAGCAAAGTAAAAATATGTGAATATATCCATTTTTGGATGACCTGTTGAGAGATGAGATAGCTCATGTGAAGTGAGATCGAGTTTATAACTTTTGACCATTCAGAGGAGAGAGCTTTGACTATGCTCCATCAACGGGCAATATCAAGAACACTGAGTACGAAATTTCGAATTGTAATTCATTCACTAGAAATCCGTCAGTTCGAAATTTTGGTCTCATATCATATAATCCATCTCATCTCCGAACAAGTTATCCAAAAATGGATGTATTCACATATTTTTACTTTTCTCAAAGAAGAAACAAACACTTAAAACTACTATGTGTTGCGTAAATGTCTCGAACTTCTCTCTCTATATATATGTATTGCATTCTATTTTAATACGTCAAAAATAATATAAAAAATTCATTTCAAGATGGGCGAAACTTTTGTCGTCAACTATATATAATTGCTAGTGAAAACTACTAGCTTCAATTTAATAGATAAGGTTTTTCTCGATATAATTTCCAAATAAATTCACCAAATAAACTATTTGCCCAAGCAAACCAAGAACGTGTATAATGCATTGGACTGTTGACATTTATTGATTCATGCATAAATCCTGTATTTCCATGAGACTTTTGTAACATATCTAAACAAAATCGAATTTCATCATCATCAGTTGTTGTTAAACCACGCATAATAATTGCAAGTGGCCATACCATTGATTTTCCACAATGTGGTCCACCAATACCTTTTCAAGAAAAGAATAGAATAAATCATTATAGTTAAATTAAGAATATTTACCTTCAAGTAGATTTCCTTTAAAAAACCATGGATTATCTGAACTAAGTATAAATTTTCGTGTATTTTGATAAATTGAATGTTTAATTGGAATATCATCAGGACATAAATATGGTAATGAAAGAAGTGATGGAATATTTGAATCATCCATTAAATTTCTATTACCAAATCCATCTATTTCATATGAATAAATTAAATCATATTTCGAATGTTTAAATGTAATTAATGTTTCTTCATTGTTTGTTATTTTATCATCAAATAAAATATCATGTAAATTAGAAATTAATTTTAATATATCATCATTAAAATCATTTGTCCATTCTAATTTTTTTATAAGTTCTAATAAAAGTTTTAATGTATAATGAGCAAAAAATTGTGATGGTATAAGATAAGGAAATGTTTGCAGATCATCACTTGGTCGAAAAAATGTATGAATTAAGCCAATAGGTTTAGCTTCCTGTCCACTTGGATTTGAAGGATGACCTTGTCGTTGATATGTATAAGGACCTTAATTTATAAAGAGAAAATTATTTTGTTTCATAATGAAATTATAAATAATAAGGTGCTGCTAATGCAAAATTCTAATGAATTTTTTTCCTCTTTCATTTATATATGGTTTGATACGAATTGACGAGCTGATCACGTATATAGAGTTTTCATTTCGATTCGACCATTGTTTAACTGAATAAAAAATTCGAATGGCTGAAAGTGTAGAATTGTCAAGTAGGAACTCGTTTCATTTTTTTTACAGAAATCGTGAAATTTCAATTACGTTATCTTTTCAAATTTAATGAAAACATTTTAACGCTAATTCAACATAAAAAACTAAGTAGAAAAAAATTCTTTGGTTAGGTTTAGAGGTAATAAGCTATCTAGTTTGTTATAACAAGAGATAGAAGCAAGTGTTTTGTTTCATTCGAATATCGTTAGATCGCGAGCTACAGAAGTATCTATTTAGTTTCTTTAGATTTTGTTTTATTGTTGAGAAGATTGAATTTTTTTTCATTTGGTGGCAACATTAACTAAAAAGCTTTGAAACATGTATTTGTATTTAGTTATTTGAATTGTCATGATCTAGTTAAAAAGCGAAATAGATAACATATTCAGAACTGGAGTCAAAAACTGCATCGAATCATATGTTTTAATAAAAAAAATTTCCGATGAAAAATACATCTGTGGTCCTCTTTAGGTTTATTTTTCTGAAACTTTGTCATCAAATGGAAAAAAAATTCAATCTTCTCAACAATAAAACAAAATCTAAAGAAACTAAATAGATGCTTCTGTAGTTCGCGATCTAACGATATTCGAATGAAACAAAACACTTGCTTCTGTCTTGTTACAAAAAACTAGACAGTTTATTATCTCTCAACCTAATCAAGTAACACTTTTCTACTTAGTTTTTTATGTTGAGTTATAATAAAATGTTTCCATCAAATTTGAAAAGATAACGTAATTGAAATTTCACGATTTCTATAAAATGAAAGCGAATTCATAATTGCCAATTCGACATTTTCAGTCATTGGAGTTTTCATGGTTTTTCTTCTCAGTCAAATTGTGGTCGCATCGAAATAAACATTCTATACTCAGAACCAACTCGTCAAGCTCTATTAAACTATATACTAATAAAAGAGAAAGAAAATGTACTGAAATTTTGCATTAGCGGCATTTGACATATATGAAATTTTTTTATAAATCGACTAACGAAACTGTTCTTTTTAATAGGATGTGAATATAAAAACATTGTATTGAATCATTTTACAACAAATATTGATTCCTAAATGTAGACTAATTATAACAATTACTTGAACGAAAAACAATATGTTGACATTTACTATCAATTCAAATATTCTTCTCTCCATAATGTATATTAGTTGTTAAGTAACAGAAGGAAAAAAAAGTGCGCAAGAGAAGAAAAGGAAAAAAAATGGTTCCAGCTAATTACATCAAAAGAAATGAATTGAAATTTTTTGCTATATAAGTTTCGATGTGTGTTTGTCAATGTCCTTCACTTAGTAAATATCTGTTTATTTCTTGTCAATAGAAATTCATTATTTTATATGAATCTAAATTCAAATCTTAACTATTAGTATATGTCATTAGTCTGACACAATAGTCATTTTGCATTCAAATTCTTTAAATCAATAATAGTTTCAATAAATATAGGATCTATTATGAAGTCAACGTTTCATACTCTTCTATCATGAAGTTACATTTATAAAAAAAAATGATGAATAAATAAATGATCAAAATCAACTCATTTTTTTATTATAATTTCAAAGGATAAAAAAATGGCATGATAGAATATCTTTTTCTAGATATATTTTAATAGAATAATTGTCTATTGAAACAATTGAAAACCTTTGTCAATATAAATCTATGTTAAAATCATGAATACAAAAAAATGATTTTTTCAACATCAAGATTTCTTTATATTACCTTATAGTAGTAAGAAAAAAACAAGATATGCATCCGTTTCATCTTTTTGAAATATGG